GATACATGATACTGACAGATTATTCCCGTTTTTAAAAAAATGTCAAAATGAAAAAATATTTTAAAATATCATACAATTACACAGGTTCTCCAGGATCAGGGCTAGGCCTGAAATAGCTCCTCATTTTTCAGAGCAATCCTGTGCGCAGATTCATCTCTGCCTCTTTGTTTCTTTTGCGACCTAGTTATGTTCAGCTTCAAGACAAGGTCCTCGCCAGGAAGGCTAGGAAGCCCCAAGAGGTAGAGATCATGACATGGAGTGGCTAGAACTTGGTGGCTGTAAGTGACCAAGCTAAGTTTAGAGGCTTGTGGAGACTTCCCTGAAGGGACCAGGAGAGTGTCTGAAGCAGAACGGATGAGGCCAACCTCAGGGTCAGGTCAGAGGGTCTTGGGCTGATCCTGAGAGATGCTGGGAAGGAGGAAGGAGAGTGAGATGCTCTCTCCAGGACCAGCATGCCCCATGCACACTGGCGGTCTAGGCTAAGTAGAACATCTCCCTGAGATAAGGCAGAAGCAGCAGCAGGTAGATCTGATGGAAGTCCCTTTTTCAGTTGTTGCAGAGTCCGAAGACTGGAGTCCCCAATGTGTGATTGAGGCACAAGCACTTGGTTAGTGTAGGGTCCCGGCCAATGGCTCTGGCTCCTGGAAGGCACAGTCAGGCGGGCTTGCAAGAAGAGCAGCCTTGCCTAGGGCTGGCTGATTCGCACGGTCACACTGGAGTTGGTCAGGCGGGCTCCGTAGTGGCCAGCCCAGAACTTTGTGTCTGTGCCTGCGTGTTTAAAAGACACGAAACGGATGCCCGCCTTGATGTTGGAGAAGACGTGAGTGACCTGTAGGTACAGGAAGGGGTCAGCCCTGTAATGCCATATTCCTGCAATCCACAGCTGAGGGAGCTTCAGGCAGATGGCATCTTCCCAGGATGGTAGCCATCTCCTCTCCACTGCACATGTTCTAGCATCTCCTGCTGCCCCATTAAGAGCTGGGTCTAATTCCTTTCCTCTTGTGAGTGGGCAAGTGCATCACGAAGAATGTGGTAGAAGTGAGTGGCTTTAGCCAAGTGACTTCCTAAGGAAGGTCGGAAAAGGCAGTGAAGCACGCTGGCTGTCCTGTGGACACCACAGTGTAATACAACCAACTGGTTCAAGCCTAGGGGGTCGCCTGTCAGAGTTCTGAGACTAAACAGGGACAGTGATATTTTGTCAGCTGCCAGAGGCTATCCCCACGCACTACCCCGCACTGCCACTGCAGCCCTCATCTGAACGCCATTGTCTGAACATAACAGACTGGAGTCAGAGTGCCCGGATGAGCTCTTTCCACTCACTGAGTCAGAAGCCATGAGAGTTAATCACATAATTGCAGTATTTTTTTTTTTTTTTTGTGGAACCGGGGATTGAACTCAGGCCCTTGTGCTTGCCAGGGAAGCGCTCTTTTTTTTTTTTTTTTCAGTATGGTAGTTCAACCCAGAGATGTTCTACCTGAGAACCTCATTTCTCACATCCCACTTTTTTGTTTGTTTCTTTCCTTTTGAATGTTATAGTACAGGTCTATAGGGTCTCACTGTATAGATTGGACTCATAGTGATCTTCCTGTTTTCAGCCTCCCTAGAGGTGAGGTTAAAGGTGTGCCACCATGCCCAGTCTGAGTTGCCCATCTCAGTGCATGCCCACCCCATGGGGGCAGTGCTACCACCTAGTCCGGCATTTATTTTTTATTATGAGACTTGGTCTTATTAAGTGGTCTAGGGTGGCCTTGTAATTGCAGTCCTCCTGCCTCAGTCTCGAGTAGGAGGGATGACAGACATGTATCGCCACACCTGGCTAAGGGCTCTTAACCTGAACTCCCGAAGTCTTGGGATGACTTGTTGCACAGCAAGAAGTAATCATCCCGGCCCCTCCCACTATTACTCTTCTCAGAGACTCACCCGAAAGTACATGCTGCTCCAGTGTGCAACAGCGACGCGCATGGCAGAGAATTCATCTAGGACGGTATTGTTGGCATCTCGAAGTTGGACAAGGAGTTGGTACCTAGCGCCACACTCGCGTACGGTTCCCCACCTGTGGGAGGAATGAATCCTCATGGGCTTGACTTGCCACCTCATCTCTTTGGGTGTCTGTCTGTCCCTCTATCTTTATAAGAGAGAAAGGCCTCCCTGGGTATGCAAAGCCAGGTCCTCATGTCATATCTGACCCGAATGTATTTGTCTGGTAAGGATGGCAAGACCAGGTAGCCTGCCAGGTGGACTGAGGGCAGGGCCCAGCACAGCCACATGGGTAGCCTGGGGGCAAAGACAGCAGGCTACTCCTGAAAACCAAACATGGGCACTTGGGAGGGGGCTTTGACGCCAGGCCAGCTGACCTGGAGGCTGAGACTGACCACACCAGCAAGTGATGCATCACACCCTAGGTGACGTGGTGCCAATAAAAGCCTCACACAGGGCTTGGTAAAGTGTCCCTGGTTGGTGATATTTCATGCCTCTTGTCACATTCATGCCAAGATGAGAACATTCTCTCTAGGAAGGGGTCCATGGAGACTCTGCCCTTGTGCTTGCCAGGGAAGCGCTTATTCCACTGAGCCATCTCCCCGGCCCCCAATTTTTGTTTTGACACAAGATGTCACTGTGTAGCCCAGGTTGGCCTCTAACTCACAGTGATATTCCTGCCTCAGCCTCCCAAGAGTGCTGGGCTTACAGGCGTGTGCACCACACCTGGCATTCTTAGCTCCATTTAATTTGTACCTTGCATTGCACTGAAATAAACTCGAAGTGTATAATGGCTTTTGCAAGCCCTTCTAGTGAGAAATTGTGTGCGGGAGTGGCTCTGGGAGTTCCACCAACTTGCCATCTGTGTCAGAAGTGAGGCGGGTCTTGGGGACTGTGCTTCCTAACTCTAGAGTTGGCTCTGAATGCTCACAGACACTGACACCCGGCTTTCATCTTCAGACACTCAGATTTCATGAGGATACAGCGTGGTCTGGACATTGGAAGATTGAAAGCTGCATGGGCACATGCAGAGGCCTTTAGGATTCTTATAAGCAAAAGGCCAACCACTTACTAGAAGGGCACAGACATGTGCTACACACTGATGATACCAATGAAATTAAACGGTTTTATTGGGAATGTATCTCTTAGGTAGAATGGGGAAGGCTAATGGTGCATACAGTGAGTATGTTGTGGCTGAAAATTCAAACGGTCACTGGGCTTGGGTTCCCTTTTTCACATGTGCAAACCATACACCACAATGTGGTTTTTCCCTCATAAATCTGAAAAAGGGGGATCAGAGAAAGAGATGGGAAAGGAAAACTATGGAGCCATACAAGATCTGTAGCAGAGTAATTTCAGAACAGGGCGCACGCAGTCATAGAGGATCATGCATTTGGCTCCCTTAAAATTAGGTCCCGTGCCCCTGAGAGAGTCCTCACGTGCCTCTGTTTAAGACCATGTACTCTGGGGTCAGAAAAAACACACGAGGGGCTGCCAGGGTCTGCCCTTGCTGTGTGATCAAGGCAAATCACCTCCTCTCTTTGGACCCATTTCTCATGAAGCTCTGAAGAATTCTAGGGCTTACAGTCTTTCCTTTCCCTTGTGATCAAGGTTCAAAGAAGACGAGTTCACTTATAAAGCACTTGATTTACTAAAGGCTCTAAAACTTGAGGTCTCAGGGTCCAAGCTGGAAGGTCTGGCTCCAGAATCTAAGTCCTCTGCGCGTTGCGTGTTTCGCCTCTCGGCACGGGGCGTCTCATTCAGACAGACTGAGCTGCATTCAAGACCTCTGTCCTGGATCCAGCCTGCTGTCTGATCCCCCATATCCCTTGGGAAGGACGTCAGAGGTTTCAGGTAGGTCTCTGCTAAGTGCTAGGGCTGTGTCCCTGGTTAAGTCTCCCCACCCCCGTGACCCTGTAGGAGGAGCCCTAAGCTGGTTCATCCTCACAAAGCACGTGCGACATACAATCATCACACTCACCAGTCTGAGACACAGATGTCAATCTTGCCACTGTCCAGCAGTTCTGGCCACAGGCCCTCAGCCTCCAGGTTCAGGATCTGCTTCTTTGAACACCAACTAGGAATACGGGAGAAGGGCAATGAGAACAAGCAGATCTTTCTCAACAAGAGACCTGGCCCTGTTGGAACAGGGGCTTTTACCAGTATGAGGTGACAAAGCAGGTGTGAGAAGGCGCCCCAGGCACTGGTATCCAGTTGTTTTCCACCGCCCAACCATCCCCTCCGTGCTGCACCGTCCAGTTCCGGAGGCCTTCTGTCAAACAAGAGACTTGTGCTCAACCAATATACAGTAGCATATAAATAAATAAATAAAATCCCGTAGCCCATCCTGGGCTCAAGGTAGGTAGCCCCTTCCCTCAGGCTCAGTCGCCCCACCTCTCCAGTCTTTGATTGGTTCCACTCTCTAGCCTTGTTTTGACCCTACTCCCTAGCCATACCCCAGAATTGTGACTCTTTCTTCCACCTTCTCCCTGGCCTCTAGGCTCATGAATCCCTCCATGGGCTCTTGGACTTGTCCCTGTGAAGTCTCTCTCTGTCCCTCAGACTCCGTGTTAAAAGCCTCTGCTCCCTGGAATCGCAGATAGCCTCGCCACTCCCTCCCCCACCCCCACCCCGCCCTTCTTCTCCCCTGGGTCTCTGACCTCTAGGCCCCTTGGGCCTCCTGACCTTGTCCACAGGGGTTGCGGATGAGGTTTCGTCCAATGGGTCTGAGCAAGCAGAAGCGAACGAGAGGACTGGGTCTGGCGTCGCGGGCAGGGGGCAGGCAGCTGCGGACGAGCTCCAGCAGGGCGCGGCCGGAGGCGCTGTGGTCCTGGGCCAGCAACAGCAGCCACAGGGCCTTGCTATCCACCAGGGACCTCCAGGTGCGGCACACAAGGCGACAGCTCCAGAGCAGCATGCTCGGGGGCACGTGGCTCAGCACGTTCAGGAGCAGCTCAGGCGGCAGCAGGCTCAGGTTCAGCCTGTTCCTGGGCTGCGGCTGGGTCTGCGGTGCGGAAACCTGGCGGTTTGGCCTTTTGGGGGTGGGTTGCCCTTGGTCCTCGGGCCAGGCACTGCTGTGGCTATGGCTGCGCGGTGGGGGTGATGTGGGAGAGGTTTCAGGGTCCGGCAGCTTCCCTGCACAGCCAGCTGACAGACACCTCACCATGAGCAGACCCTTTAGGTCCTTCCCCCTACTCTCTGATAGCTCTGCGCGCTGGTCTCTGCCCGCTGGTCCCTGCCCCACCCCCGCGATCACTGTTGACTCCCAACTCTGGCTCCCTAGCTCTGGTCGACCCTCCCTGACCTTAGTTACCTTTGGTCTCCCGGCGTGCCCTGCTCCAACCTGTCCATAGAGGGACGATTAACACCATGTGCTTTGGCTCTTGCTGTGTGGCTCCTTCTGTCCTGGTGTTGCAGGCAGTCAAGTTAGATAGAAATATTATAGGCAGTCAGACAGGGCCAGGCCCTCAAAGGAGATGACAAAGATCAGGCACCTTACAACTGTGGGAGGGATGGATGCTCCTACTGTGAGCCAGACCTAAAGACCAAACAAATGCTAACTTCCCTAAAGACTGGCATCCAGGATTGATCGTTACCCAGGAAGAATCATTGCCCTCTTGTTGTGTGACTTGTTACCCCATTTGGTCCTGGGCCTAATCAATTTTACCTGAGCAGTGGTGCTTGTAATCCCATTGGCTGACCATAGTTTTGTCCCAACCCACATCCACCTGAGCAGGTTCCCATTTTCTCCACTTTAGCCCCACTCTTATAGTGTATGGTTTTACACTATAAAAGTCCCTGGAAGAGACAGCTTCCCAGGGAACAACCTGCTCAGGCCCCCTCCTGTCCCTCTCTTTGGCAGGAGCTTTCTTTCCCTCAATAAATATATTCTGCTTATAACCTCCATTTGTTCCTAAAATTCATTCTTTGGTTTTAGGGAACACAAACTTGTACAGGTCAGGTTGGGAGGTCATTTTTCCTTATGTCATTTGGAGGTTCCCCGTATCATTTGGAAGTCACCCACCCGAGATCAGTTTTTCTCCCTCTATTACTGGTGCCTTCAGCCTCTCCGGACCCCACCTCCTTACCATCTCCAGGGAACATCTAGCCTTCGTGCCTCTGGGTCTCTACCTGCCCAAAACAAGGGTCTCCCAGTGAGGCGTGAGGCGCCCAGCAATCACTCCCATCTGGCAAAGGCCACTCTGGTAACAGTGAAAAGACTCTTATCACCTCCTAAGGCTGGGCAGCCCAGTTACCTCGTGTCCCAGACCGTGTAGGGTCTCCAATGTTTCCCAGAAAACCAGGACCAGAGGACAAATGACTTGTTCACAGTTACACAGCTATAGGTAGCAGAATTAGAATTTGAACTCAGTCATTGTACTCCATAACCCTCATTTTAATTTTTTTTTTTTTTTTGGCGGAACCAGGGATTGAATTCAGGCCCTTGTGCTTGCCAGGGAAGTGCTTATTCTACTGAGCCATCTCCCCAGCCCATAACCCTCATTTTAGACAGTATGTTACATACTGCTCTGTTCAGTAAGAATGTAAAAAGTATGCCATATGTCGTTTTAAATATCCACCAACAGAACCTGGCATAGACTGCTGCCCACTAGGAACTTGCCTTCCTTGCAGAGAGATGTGAGTACACAATACACATAAGAATCAAATTCGATGTACCAGCGAGATAGCTCAGCGATCTAGTGTTCCTGCTTAGGCAGGCGCAGGGGGGCGCAACTCAGCTACATCCCAATTCCTGGCACCACATGCCTTGCTAGCCCTGCCCTCAGGGCAGGCTGAGGAGGAGGGAAGGGGGAACACACAAACAAAAAGTTGATAATAACCCAGAAACAAAAATAAAACTTTTCTCAGAATGCAGGACACATGCTGGTAATCGCACACTCTGGGAAGCTGAGGCAGGAGGATGACAGATTTAAGATTATTGCTAGTAACTTGAACAACTTAGCAATTTAGAAACCCTGCCTGGAAAAAAAAAAAAAAAAAAAATGGCAGGGGCTGTAGTTCACTATGAAGGCCCTGAGTTACAACCTCAGTACTGTAATAAATAAAAATAAATCTTCCTACCTGTGCTCCTCTCCACAAATGTAGAAAAAAAATATCAAATGGTTTTATCAGAGAATAAGCATTAACACACTGTAAGGCACATGAGCCATGATGAACCGGGCTCGATAAGTGACCTGTAGGGTGTGTGATTCAGTATCCAAATTAGGAAACCCAGCAGGAGAGAGGAATGGGACTCTAGACAGCTGAATGAGACAGAAGTTAATGGCAGGCAGAGAGGGGTGGGACCCTCTAGGGAGTCAGTGCAGAACAGCAGACCACAAGGATTGGAGCTGGAGTGGATCTGAAGAGGGCCAGGCCTTCAGCACTCCCTGGACACAAACAGCAGCTGGGCTTGTACTGGGATTAGCACTGCCCTGTCCTGTGGGCCCAGACAGGCCTCAGGCCTGGGGATGGTGACCAGTACACGTGGCTGCCCTTGCTCTCTTTGTAGCAATGCCTTTGTTCTTTCTAGTTGGAAGTTACAGATAGGCTGAGGTCACGAGGTGCGTGTGCCTACCTGTGCTACCCGCTGGATTCCCTCTCGGGCCAGCACCAGCTAAGTAGCTGCACTGTAATCCTCCAGGTGGATTGTAGTTTGCCCCACAGCTGGCCAGCTGTAGAAAATATGCTTGACCAGGAGGCGGGGCGGTGGCAACTCTCTTTCCACACCTGCTCCCCTCTGTTAGGGGCTTTCTCTCAGCAAACCTTTCCTACTCTTCCCTTCTGTTGTCCTGAGTCCCAGCTTTGGTGTGTGGAGAGGCACAGATGACACCTAACAGTGGGAGTCCCCTCCCCAACTGGGTGGGTGGAGAGGAGGAGACCCCGAGTTTCGGCAGATTGGCTGATTTAGGTGCTTGCCTCCTTTCTTCTCAATATGTTTCCAAGAAACTGTTGACTGCCAAGATTTCCTGACATCTCTAAGAAGAGATTGAAAGAGCGATTGGTCAGCTCCAACACGTACCTGCTGTCCCTGTGGTTTCCTTTCTGGGCTCTTCGACCTGCTCCTTCTGGGTCCCCTCCTCACCTCCTTATTTATTTATTTAATGAGATAGGATCCTGGTCTGTAATTCTAGCTGGTCTTGAACTCAAACTGGCCCAGGCTGGCCTCAAACTTGTGGCAATCCTCCTGCCTCAGCCTCCCTAGTGCTGGTATTACAGGCATGTCACATACCCAGCTGTGTGGTTTTTTTAAATTGTATTTTATTGGTACATTTTAGATATGCATAAGAATAACATCACAGGGCATTACTACCTGTACGTGCTGTATCTCACCGCTGCTTTTCCCCCCATTACCCTCCCCTCCCTTAAATCTCTCTTCCTATCATTTATAAAAGTTTGTGTCTCAGTTCCTTTTCTCGCATTTACAAAAGCTTGTGTCTCAGTTCCTTTTCTCTCATTGCTGAGGCAAAATACCCAACACCCAAAATGAAGGAAGGAAAGGTTTATTTAGCTCACAGTATGTGGAGGTTTCAGTCCATCCTCGGCTGGCTCCAACAACAGAACAGCAAGAGCAGGAAGGGAGGAGCAGCGGCGGCAGCAGCAGCCAGCAAGCCTCTCCCCCTTCCTTATATTGCTCTCAGGCTGTCCGCCCCAGGCCGGGTGCAGGGCTCACGCTCCTAACCCCAGCAGCACTCAGGCCCATAATCTCAGCATTGGATCTTGAATTCATCACAGAGTCTGGAAGCCCGTCACCCCAGTGCTTCATGAGCCTTTGGGGAGACAACTAGATCCAAACCATAAAGCTTGTTTCATTTTTTTTCCTTATTTCCTTCTCTTTTTTTCCCCCTGCTCTCCTTTGTTCCTCTTCTCATTTAAACATTTTGTTCCCATTTCCCAGTATCTATTATACAATAAATACTGGTCCAAGTGCTGGGACTGTGGGCATGAGCCACCATAACCAGTTCATATGACTTTTTTTTTTTTGATGGTTTCTATCCGGGCATGGTGGCACAAACCTGTGTCTCCAGCATTCAAGAGGGTGAGGCAAAAAGGTTGTTGTGAGTTCCAGGCAAGCCTGGGCTACATAGTGAGTTCAAACCCAGCCTGGCTACATAACAAGATCTTGCCCCAAGAAACAAATGCAGGGCCCCAGAATATAGCTCAGTGGCACAGCACATACTTGGCAAGCTCAAGGTCAATTTCCAGTATCAAAAGGGGGGGGGGGAAGAAAAAACAAAAATGCCTTTTAAAAAAGCTTCAGAAACTGAAGGAGGCCCAAATGGCAGACACTGAGCGCTGAGTCTGCATTCCTTTTCCCCAGTGCTGCTCACCAGAGGCCATCCTTGTTAATTCCTGGAATTACGTGTCATCCTGTACTCTGCAAGGAGAAAAACAGGGATGCCAGGGATGCGTTCCTGCAGGACCTGCTATCACGGGATCACATCCAGGGACGTTCCCCAAGCCAGAGAAGGGAACCTCGACTCGCCCAGCACAAGGCAAGTTACGGTTTGCTGATATCTGTCACAAAAAAGCTTTTTCAAGATGTACTTAAGAAAGTTTATTGGGGGCCGGGGATATAGCTCCGCAGCACAGCACCTGTCTGGGAAGCTGCAGGGAGTGAGTTTGTTGCCCAGGACCACACAAAAGTTCATTGGGCAGAAAAATAAATATGTGTTTGGTACAGGGTCTCACTACAGAGCTCGGACTTGTAGTGATCCTCCTGTCTCAGCCTCCCCATTGCTGAGATGACAGGCCTGTGCCATCAGTCCTGGTCTTGGTGGCTGGCTTGGGAGTGGGGCCAGTGGGGCATGTGGTACCAGGGATTGAACCCTGGCCTTGTGGTAGCCTAGGCAGCCCTTAGATCGCTGAGCTATCTCTGTGGCCATGGGCAAAATTTTAAACTACACTTTCAGGATAGAATGAGGCCCTTAGGGAAAAGCAAGACAGCCTGGATTTGTAGTGATCCTCCTGTCTCAGCCTCCCTAGGGCTGGGATTACAGGGATATACCACCATGCCCAGTTTTGGGCCAGCATGGTGTGGTAAGGGTTCTGGTGCCCGAACCCAATTTGGGGGATCAAACTTGGGTCCTTGCACTTGCCATTCAGGCCCCAACCTAGCTCCCCACAGTATTTCTGTAGTCTGGAGAGGTTCAAATCTGTGGAAAG